TATTGCGTAGCAGCAGAAGTTCGAAATTTGCCTTCCTTGCAGGTACCAGTCAGAACAGTGTGGGATCGATACCCGGGGTTACACCTGCCAAGAGACGGGGATGCGGCAACGAGCGCACGGATTGCACAGACAGTGTTCCATACATGCAGCGGTCTACCCAAACTTGATCGACTGCTTCGGGGCCAGGGATCTCACGTGAGCGACGTCAGGGAGATATCAAGAGGAAGGCGCCATGGGTCACGGGGTGAAGCGGGATGCTCTAGGACCCCCGCGGTTCACGAGAAGAGACAATGGGACGTAAGCAGGAGAGCAGTCCTATAGAGGGCATGTCCGAGTTCAAATTGGTAAACTTCTGGGGGGGGGGCTTGATGCCCCAAAGACTACCTAAGGTTCGAATCGCACGGAGGGCATTGCCGCCCCTCGAGCTCGTGTCTTTTGGTTGCCGTCCATGTTTCGCACGGGGGTCCACAAATCACCGCATGCATTGCGGGCACGCATGAAATCAGTAAATGTGTGAACACCCACTCCGCGTTGGTGAGATCCCCCCCGATCGGGGCCGTTCGAGACGTCTACAGGAAGCGCCAGAACAGTGCAGTCACAGTATATTTTTGTCATAGCAGGGGGAGGAGGGGGAGGAGGAGGAGGAGGAGGAGGAGGAGGAGGAGGAGGAGGAGGAAGGAGAGGAGGAGGAGGGAGGAGGACGAGGAGAAGGAGGCGATGGGGAGGGGGAGAGGAGAAGGAGGGGGAGGAGGAGGAGGAGGAGGAGGAGGAGGAGGAGGAGGACAAGGAGGAGGAGGAGGAGGAGGAGGAGGTGGAGAACGTACCGTACAGGACTGGGCGGGGCCACCCGGGGGGGGGGGCACGGGGCATGGCACGATGAGAGCAGCGGCCACGGGAGAAGCAGGCGGGGCGGGGGCTCGGGAGCACGAGCGGGGCTTCGCAGCTGCCTGAGCCGCGGGGGCTCTATTTCGGCAGCCTTTATCTCCGATCCCCATCCCCATCCCCATCCCCTTCGAGACCCCCACCAGATTACCACCCCAGTTGGGGATACACCCCTCGAAGCCCGAAGGGGACGACCTATATCCCCATCTAGGGGGGGGTAAATCGGCCAGCGGGGCCCAGGCCACGCCGCTGGGGATGGGGGTCGAATAAACGATACTCACTCTTGGCTGGGGGCCTGGGGCAGAGCTGGGCCGCAGAGCCGAGACGCAGGGGATTTCGGCCTGGGTGGCCGTGAGGCCTCTGGTCGCCATCAGATGCCCATGTTTTTACGGCCTCGGCAGCGGCCACCTCCGCCTCGGCCGAAAGGAGGGGGAGAAAGCGACCCAGGCACGAAAGCGGGCAGGCCGCCCATGGTTCATACGTCTGATAAGTCGACGTCTCGAGTGGAAATTCCTTTCAAACGTGGCAGTCAGAGCCTATGGTATATCTCGGAGAGGGGTCTTGGTGGGTCATACGATGACTGCGCCAAGCTAAGACGTCAGCCGATATGCGCCCGCATTCGTAACAAACGAACTGGTCCTGAGGGGCGGGGGGGCACAATGGGGAGGGACAGCGACGGACGCCGCTTGGCATGACTGGCGAATATGATATTGCCACGCAGCCAGACGCTGCTGGTCCAGAGCATGTCGCTTGCCTGCGAAAAAAAAGGACGCACTGAGGAGGTGCTGCCAGCGTGTTCTGTTGCGCTTGACGAGCCGCACCCACCACTCGAGGGGAGGGGGGTCCCTCTGGGGAATCCAGCGCGAACTCAGCAACCCAATCAAGATCCCTCGCCAGCATGTCAAACCAGCTGACGGGCAAATCCTTGGTCACACCCCAGGGAAACAGGAGCCGAGGGGGGCGGCCACAGGGACTCTGCCAAAGAACTTGAGCCTCCGAATGCGCATGGCCAGGTCAAGATCGGGCTTCTCTCGGCAAGCACGATTATCTTGAAACACACCGTAGAGTGTGGCCCCTTGGGTTAAATCGGGCCTGCCCCGTTACAGGGAGAGTATTCAAAAATAGTCTGGGGACGATTTGTTGACTGCTTTTAGGCATATTTGGAATATTTTGGGGTATTTTTTGTTTTTCATCCAAAATCCCCCTGTAGGGGGACAGGCCCCACATAACCGTAGAGCTTGGCCCCTTGAGGCCTTTACTCGTGGCCCCACGGTAGGGGTGCAGACAGGCGGTGGCCAGGGCCTGCCACGTCGTCTCGGTGAGCTCGAGCCAAGTGCGGGCGTGAAAGGGGAGCCGGCTAGCATCAGGAGGGGAGAACACCCAGACACAATCACACGCCAGTCGTTGAAAGTAGGTATTTCTGGATTCCCAGATCCCACAATCTACTTCAAGCGCCTTCCTACTTCAAGAATTGATACGCTTTTGCTGTGGTTTGTTATTCTCTGGGGGGCCTGGACCCAATCAACTGAATCCGCCTTCCTACTTCATGTTTTTACCTACTTCTTCCGACCGACGTGTAATCGTCAATCCCCCCTGGAAAATATGAGAAAATATTCGAAGTGGGGAGGAAGGAAGACGAACATCCAGAAAACATTGCAGGATATTGGGAATATTGGTACTTGTGTGTATTTATGTGTGTGTCTGGGTCCCTTCATAGTACGAAGGGAGTCGGCCCCATCGAGTTTGGATTTCTGCGGGAGCAAATGTCGTTTGAAAACGGCTCTCTGGAGCGGGCCCAAGGCTTGTTTCTGGCGGGTTCTGCGGTACGCAACTTCGGGGGCCACGAGTCTGTCTCAGTGCAGAATACTGCCCAAGTACTTGCAAGCGCTGGGAAGGGGAGCCCAAACCTTGGCAAGCGAAAACCAGATCTTCGCCTACTGATACACAAAAACCTATCACTGGCGCTGCGCCAGGCAACACCCTTCAGAGAAACAAGCACGACGGTTTCAGTGGGCTCGAAAATCAGCGCGAAATCATACGTGGCCGCAACCAAGTACATGGCTTCAATCAGCAGAACAATGTGGGTCTCGATATTATCATTGTCATGGGCCGTCGTGGGGGCAGCAAGATCGGCAGCAAAGGCGGCGGTCTCTGACAAGAAAGCACCCTCCTGGTTTTGACCCTGGGCAAAAACCGGAGTTGGGGAACGATCACGCAAGATGGCGATGTCACGAGCTGGGGGCTCGCTTCTAAGATCGCGCTACTCAGGGTGGGGGGAACACACACACACACACACACAGACACGATTAATCGTTGACCCCCAGGAAGATATAGGAAAGTATGGGAAGTGGCGCGGAAGACATAAATCTCGAAAATCTAACCCAACATCGGGGGATCGTAGGGGTTGTGCGCATTTGTTTGCGCGTCCCTGGGCCCCTTCAAAGTCGGGGGCGCCCTTGGCCGCAAACCAAATTCGCGCGCGCGCTTCATGCAGAAGATCCGCGAGGTGAGCATCGCTGAATTCCGAGCCCAAGAAGGAATTGACCATCATGGCCTGAAGGACAGGCACCAGGGCCGGGGGGGGGGGGGCGGCGGCCACAGTCGCGTCGCGGCCATCTTCGCACGTGTCCAGGGGCAGAAGAATCTCGCGCACAACCGCGTGGAAGGCGGCCTTGATATTAGCGATGGCCAGAATGCTTGAACCACTTTGTTCCACCGCGTAGTCCTGGAAGGCCCTAATATAGTGGCCCGCGATATCGGCCCCGCGACCCTTGCGCCACCCGCGCCGAGTGGACAAGGGGAGGGCAATCGCGATGACATAGACCCGCTCTCGCATGAAGCGATGGTGGCACTTGGCAATAACACTCATCAGGAGGATCTGTCGATAGTAGATCGACAGGGCCGGGGAGCTAGAGCCTTCGTAGAGCGGGCGAACCCATCCCCCTTTGAAAGAGAGGGGGTCCTTGCCAAGAAGGGGCACCTTGGTGAGGAGGGGGTGGTCGAGACGAGCGCAAGCGCCAGGAACCGCCTTGACCAGGCCCCCCGCGACGAGGTCAGGGCCCCCCGCTTTGAAACGTTCCTTGGACGCAAAGCTCTGAGCCAAGGCATCAAGAGGCATGAGATTGTCCTCGGAACGCTGCAAGACCAGAGGCGGGGGCAGGGAGCTGCAGCGGGCCACGCGAGCATCATCAGACAACGTGACGGCGGCACACTCTTGCGACGCGAAGGGCTTGAGCAAATCTTCAGCGGCGGCGGAGGGGGCATCCACCAGGGGCGAGGTGGGGTTGGTAGAAATTCCTTTTGGTCAGGTCAGGTTAGGTCAGCCTTGCACTGCACGGTGCGCGAGCAGGGGTGAGACCGAAAAATGCGGCTCGGCGGTCGCACTAAAGTTATTCAAAGGAGGGGAGGAGGAGTAGGAGGAGGAGGAGGAGGAGGAGGAGGAAGAGGAGGCGGGAGGAGGAAATTCCTGCTGCGCCCACCGAAAGCCAACGAAGAACTGACGCACTGCCACCGAGCCCCCCGATCGCCGGCCCTCCCTCGCTCGCCGGATCCGTCGGCCGTGCTGGCGAGGCGGGCCACCCCGTCCAAGTCGAGCCACCTGGCCAGGACGTACCTGCTGGCCCTGGGGATAGCGAGCTTCTGCCTCTGATGTTCAGCAGCAGGCGGGCTGCGGGCGAGAAAGCAGACGGCGTGCCAACGAGCACGGGCGAAACCGCTGGGACCATCCGAGCGCGGATCATCCACCAGCGGATCCGAGGCCGCGAGCACACAGCGGGCGCCGCAAGCGAGGCCCGACGCGCCCCCAGGCGCGGGGCCAGGCCGCCCGCGGGCCGCCGATGCCGTCGCCGCCGCCTCGAAGACGCCCGGAGGTGGGCGGGCGGCGGCGCGGAGACTCTCGACTTTGTCGTCAGGGGAATGCCCAGGGAATGTCTCCTCCTCCTCCTCCTCCTCCTCCTCCGTAGCCATTTTGGCTCAAGGCTGATGTTTGGCGGGCTGAGCCCGCATTGGCAGAAACGGAGACCGCTATTCCGCGGCAGAGCTAGGGCTCCTGGAGCCCGACTTTCTTTGGCCAGTACTGCAGGGGCTCCCTGGCGGCCCAGTACCGACACGACGGCACCATGGCGGGATGGGGGTGCCGCTCCTGCTGTGCTTGGAACCGCGGGGCCAAGGCGAAGTGCTACCACTGCAGCGCCCCCAATCCTGGGCTCCCAGGGTTCAGCGGAGGCCCAGGGCCTGGGCGCCGCGGCGCCCCTCGCGGGGCATGGGCCTGGGGCCCTGGCAAGGCCGCTGCTCCGCCCTGGCGTGAAGGCCCGCCGCGGCCGCGCGCGCCTGGCGGAGGCCGCCAGCCTGCCGCCCCGCCGGCGCCCGCCGTGCTCGACGACCAGCAGCTGGAGTGCTGGGTGGCCATGGAGGATGAGAAGTTCGCGCAGCTCGCGTCTGTCCTCGGCCAGTCCCTGCGCGACAGGATCACGCATCGGCGCCGCCTGCGCGCTGCTGGCGCGGAGAACCCCCGCGGCAAGGACCTTCCGCAGCCCGTGGTCAAGGCGCAGCGCGCGGCCCTCCAGGCGACCCAGCGCCTCGAGCGGGCTCAGCAGGCGGCCCTGGAGGCGGCTGAGGAGCTCGAGGCGGCCGAGGCGCAGCTCGTCGCGGCTCGAGTCGACCTGGAGCATGCGAAGCAGGACGCCGCCGCGGACACCGCTGGCGGGGACCAAGGGGGACCTCCTGTCTCGGCGTCGACGTGGGACGACCTCGGGAAGCTTGCGGGCCTCGTCAACCAGCTCGCGGCCACCTACGAGGACCAGTTGGCCCAGGTGGCGGCAGGCAACAAGCCGCCCGACAGGGCTCGCAGTGGCGCTGCAGACCAAGGAAGCGCTGCAGAAGTTCACCGCCGCGCTGCCCGCTGCGCCCCCCGCGCAGTCTGCTGCGGCTGCTCCTGGCACTCCTCCTGCCGTCCCTCCTGGAGGCCAGCCCCCCCCAGCCGCCGATGGAGGGCTGCCTGGGGGCCCGCCAGCTGACGTCGCCATGGGAGCTGCACCTGCCGGAGGATGCGCTGACACCGCGCAGCGGCTTCGGGACAAAGCAGCGGCTGCAGAACGACTACGGCGAGACGTCAGGAACGGGACCAGCCCGTACTAAGGCCAGGATGTTCTTCGGGAATATCACCCAGTACGGTCCGACAGCCCGCAGGTTCCTGGAGGGACACGGAGCGGGCTTCGACGTCGTAGGTTTCAGTGAGACCCATTCGTCACCTGATGCCGCCGAGCAGCAGCAGATTGACCTCCAGAAGGGTAACTGGAAGGTCGCAGTCACTCCTGGCATCCCTTCAGATCGGTCTCACGACGGTGTCACAGGCGGTGAGATGCTTGCGATCAAGAAAACGGGGTGGCTGCGACTACGTTCGAGGGGCACCGTCGCGCATGCCTAGCGGCTGGTCGGCCGCCCCCTTTCTTCGGCATCGTCCCAATGGTGCGGCACCTGCTGCAAGGCAACGTCCTCGCCGTGGTGGCGCATCTGGCGTCGGGGCTTCGGTTTCGCGGAGCCAACCATCAGCGGCTCGCCTCGCTGGCGGCCTTCCTCTCGCTCATGAAGGACCCCTTCGTGATCGTTGGCGATTGGAACGTTGAGCCGACGGATTGGGGCAAGACGGAGCGGTTGCAGCGGCTCGGGGCCACCGTCGCGGCGCCAGCGAACGTGCGCACGACGTGCGACAAGGGCAAGGGCAAGCTGTACGACTACGTGCTCGCCTCGTCGGGGTACGCCGAGCACGTCAACGCGGTCGCGGAGCCCTCCGCGCCGCGGCGCACGCACTGCGGGCTGGTCATCGAGCTCACGTCCAGCAACCGCCGCTGGTACCACCAGGCGCTGGCGCTGCCCTCAGCGCTGCCCCTTCGATGCCCTCCGAAGGTCGCTGCTGGCCCCGGCAGCCGCAGGCAACGCAGGCTTGCAGTGCAGGCCAGCAAGCGGCGCGAGGCGTTGCCAGAGGAGCTGCGGCAGTCCCACGACGCGCTTCTGTCGGAGGCCGACGGGCCTGGCGGGCCAGCTGCTGCAGGCGACATCGTGCACGCCCCGTTCCCGCTGCCCGACTACACGGCCCCGTGGACTGGGAGGTGGTGCAGCGCTGGTGGCGGCGCTTGGAGTGTTGCCCAGTGCTGCGGAGACGCGCCCTCCGCGGCAACCGCCCCCGTTGCGGTACGGCGTACGTCCATGGACGGCGACGTGGATCCCATGGATGCGCTGCCAGACGAGTACGACGGCGGCTTCGTTGAGCCTCCCGAGCACGACCCAGCCCCTTGCGGCCCAGTGGCGGATGCGAAGTCGGCCATGTCGCTCGACACCGAGCCTCTCGGTCGAGATGGCGACGCACCAGTCGACATTTAGTACCTCGTGAGCTCCGAGACATGGTCCAGGTGCGCTGCCGCCGTGCAGGCTCAGAAGCCCAGCAGCCAGCGGCCCGCCGACCAGGACCACTTCCTGTTCGCGCGAGTGCCGCTCTCCACTGACCGCGTCTTGCAGGTCTACGCGCAGTGGGTTGGTACCCTCGAGGAGGCGCTGATTCAGACGGAGCAGGTCGCAGGTCGCAGTGCGGACACTATGCGAGGGCGTGGTCAGGGCTATCGCATCGAGGAGCGCAGGATGAAGAGCACCCCTGGCCGCGCCCACCTGCTGGACCCCGTGCTGGAGGGTTGGCAGACGCTGTGCACCTTGCTGGTCCGCCTCGTCGCGCTGCTGACTAACGGGTCTGACCCCCCTCAGCAGCGCGAGCGCGTTGCGCGAGCCACCCCCTTGTTACGTGCTCGAGAGGGAGGGACTGGCGCCTTCGCGCTGACATTTTCTTGCAGCAGGAAATGCCAAGGTTGGATGGTGTACGAAGGCTGCTTGCGTGCACTGAGCAGTGGTGCCACCGCCTCCTCGGCCGCAGCCTTCACCGCGCTCGCCTCGGGTACGTCCGCTGGGCCAATGAGGCGTGGCAGCGGAGGCCTGGCATCGTCCACCGACATGTCAAGGAGCCCGCGGCCGAGCAGCTGGAGACCTACGGCCTCGTCAGGGACGCCGACGGGGACGTCGCGGCGAGGTCCATCGCCCAGCCCGACACCATCCTGGAGCAGAAGACCGTGTTCTGGGAGCGGGTGTGGAAGGACCCGACGCATGACGAGGCCGACCTTGTCGAGGCCTTCAACGATACTCTCCGGCGCGTTGCTGACGAGAGGCTGGAGCCGATCACGCCCGACCAGGTGCGGGCGGCCTTGCGCCGCATGAGCTCGGGCAGGGCGCGCCGCATCGACAACGCGAGCCCCGCTGACCTGCAGCGCATGCCCGAAGACGGCTTCGACGGCCTCGCTTCGCTCTTCAATGAGTGCGAGGCCGCGGGGGCTTGGCCGTGGCAGCTTTCGGCGGCCATAGGCGCCGCCATTCCCAAGCGTGGTGGAGGGGGCCGCATCATCGGCATGTTGCCGACCACCTGCAAGGCATGGGCGAAGGTTCGAGCTGCTGCCACCGACGAGTGGAGTGCCGCCCAGGCCGAGTGGTGGGACACCGCGGCGCGCGGATCGTCAGCCTTGCGGGCCGCGGTGTGCCGCGCCTGCATGGACGAGTGCGACGCGGAGAACGGGTGGTTCACCGCGACCCTCCTCCTCGACATCAAGAAGTTCTACGATTCTGTTTCATTCGTGCGACTGCTCGCGGCTGCCACCCAGCAGGGCTTCCCCGCGATCGTGGCCGCGATGGAGGCGCAGCTGTACGCAGGGCCCCGCCACTTGCGCCAGCGCGCCTGGCTTGGGCGACGGCTGCAGCCAGAGCGGTCAGTTGTGGTGGGCTCAGTCCATGGCGGGGAGCTGGCAAAGGTCATGCTAGGACCAGTGATCGCTCGCGCACATCGTGCTTGCGAGCGTGCTCAGCTGTAGACGTTCATCGACGACACGGTCATCCGCTCAGTTGGCACGAGGCAAACAGTCAAGGCCGACATGTACAAGGCCGTGGTGGCGCTCAAGCAGGGGCTCGACGAGGCTGGCTTCGAAGTCTCCACCAAGACTGCGCTGGCGTGCTCGCAGCCCCCGATGGGGCGGTCCATCGCTGGGGGCTTGGCACGGCTTGGCGTGCCCGCCTCCTACGCGGTGCACGCGACGGACCTCGGCGTCGACACGGCTTGCGGGCGCCGTCGGTGCAGGAAGCGGGTCCAGAGGCGCTTCCAGGCTGCCAGGTGTCGGCTTGGCAGGATCCCCCGCATGCGCAAGGAGGTCCGCATGGCCAAGATCACGAAGATGCCGTGGACAACGGGGGCTCAACCTCAGGCGACGTACGGCCACCAGGTTGCTGGCCTAGCGCCCTCCTCGCTCCTGGCGGTGCGCCGAGGTGCCGCTGCCGCAGCTGTCGGCAAAGGGCCTGACAGGTGCCTCACGTCGACATTGGCGGCCTTGTATGGCGAGCGCGACCCAGGGCTGGAGCTTCGGAGGCAAGTTGTCAGCCAGTGGCTCGAGCTCTGGCGCACACGGCCTGAGGTTCATGGCCGAGTTCGTCGCGCCTGGCCCCGCCTCCTCATGGCCCTGTCTCAGGCAGGGCCGCATCGCTGGCGGCGCGTCCGCGGGCCTGCTGCTGCTGTGACTGCGGTGCTCCTGGACACCGAGTGGCGGCCCGAGTCGCCCCAGCGCTGGGTCCGCCCGACTGGGCCTAACACAACCGACGAGTGGGCCAATCCTTGGCCCTGACGCGGAGTGCTACACCGCCGCCGACGCGCCCGAGCTCCTGGACAACATCATGGAGGACTTCGCGAGGCGCATGTGGCAGAGGGCTGCTCTGCACCCCGCAGGCGACAGCCTCTGCAACGGTGCCGACATGATGCACGTGCAGCGGGAGTTGAGGCGTTTCATGGTTGCGGGGGCGCTCGACCTGTGGGCGCAGACGGTCGCCATCGTCAGCGGTGGCCAGTGGACGAGGGAGCGCCAGCAGCAGGCTGGCTACGACTCCGAGGTGACCTGCCAGCGCTGTGGCACCGAGAAGGAAACGCTATTTCATCGAATTTGGAGCTGCCCGTGCAACACGGGCCATGCAGATTTTGACGCCAGTGAATTGTTGGTGGTGCGTGCGAGGGCGGGCTGGGAGCAAGACCCCGCCCTGTGGTTGAGGGGCGTCTGCCCGTCAGACCTCACAACGCCCATCTTCGACGAGTGCCAGGCGGACTGGGTCGAGCACCAGGGGGAGCCGTTCGACAGTTGCAGGGTCGAGGGCGAGGAAGTGCTCGACGTTTTCGGCGACGGCTCGGGTGGCCCGCACACTGACGACCCTCGGCGGCGCCGTATCGGAGCTGCCGCGGTCGCACTTCGGCCTGACGGAGAGTCGCGGCTGCCCGCCGCCATCGTCTCTGGCGGGCTCCGCGGGCGCAGGCAAACTGCACCTAGAGCTGAGCTGCTCGCTCTCGTCCTGTGCCTTGAGAGCTCGACAGGGAAAAATCTTATTCACACAGGTTGTAGATCTCTGTTGGACGGTTGGTGCGCTGGCCGCCACACCTCCTGTATAGGCAGTAATGGAGATCTCTGGGTCCGCTTGAAGCAGGCGTTGATCAAGCGAGGCAGCAGTAGTAGTGACATTGAGGTTGTCTGGGTCCCGAGTCACCTTGATGAGGACCCAGAGCGTATTGTGAATGAGGGTATCCAGCATGTTGCTGCGGGGAATATTTGTGCTGATAAGGAGGCTGGGGCTGCTGCTGCGCGGTCGAGCCGATGCATGATCGGCGATGCTCCTCGCACCGACGAGTGGGACGCGGTCGCGGCGCTTGTGAGGTGTCGGGCCCGTCGTGCGCTTACGGAATCGATTTCCCGTGACCCGTGGAATTCGAAGCGTGTCGAGCGTGTCCGCCCTCCTGCTCAATCTCGCCTCCAGCTCACCCTTGCACGCAGCCCCCACTCGTGGACTCGGATCCACGGGAGATGGGCCTGCACGGTGCGCCGCCGAATCGTTCCCTCGGCCCAGGTTTTGGAAGCCGCCCGCACCCCCTGCGTTCCTGGAGGGGGGCCTTTCCCCTCGGGCGTGGCGGCGGTCCAGGGGCCTATCTTTTCTGGCAAGGTGCAGATCCATGGGTCGCACGTGATGCACAAATGGTTCGAGTTGTCTCTGTTATTCTGTTCTGTTTGTGGCAAAACTGCGTCCACGGACTTCCGTCATTTCAATCAGGTCTGCCAGCTCACGAGGAAGGGTAAAGAGAACCTTTCCCGAATCTCCAGAGGCCGCCACCCGTGCTCCCAAGGAGCCCCCAAGGCCGTCGCGTTGGCACAGAGAACCTTCGCTGGGACGGCCTCGAGGTCGAGGCCCTCGGGATGTGCCGCGGGTGGTGATGCCTCCTCGTAGGCGTAGGACGGGACACGGCGTCCCTCGGTTCCTACTCCTGCTCCTGCTCCTCCTCCTCCTCCTCCTCCTCCTCCTCCTCCTCCTCCTCCTCCTCCTCCTCCTCCTCCCTCCTCCTCCTCCTCCTCCTCCTCCTCCTCCTCCTCCTCCTCCTCCTCCTCCTCCTCCTCCTCTCCTCCTCCTCCTCCGTGTTCCTCCTCCTCCTCCTCCTCCTCCTCCTCCTCCTCCTCCTCCTCCTCCTCCTCCTCCTCCTCGTTTTCCTCCCCCTGCGTCGCCGTCCTGGCTCGAGCCACTCTGGGTCCGCCCGCCCCCTGTAGCGCCTGCTGTGGATCAACCATTGAGCGCCCTGTGGACACGCAGGCCTTGCTGGGCTGCCGGCGGGGCGCGGGGGGGGAGCGCCTGCAGCGCAGCGCTCAGAGTCTGGTCCTCCACGGCTGCGCCGTGAGCGCCGGGGCCCATGCCGAAGGGGAGCGGAGCGGGGGTGCGAGGCAGAGCCGATGCGAAGGCTTGGCGGCAGCCGGGGACGGCCAGAGCAGACCTGTCGAAACCCATCGGGGGGGCGGTGCTCCCGCTGGGTGGACCACTGGAGGTAGGCATACGTCGGGCAGTGGGTCAACGTGGAGCGCATAGGACGCAAGTCAAGCCAAACCCCGTGACGCGAGACACCCAGGTCCAAATCAGCAGAGAGACGGATGTAGTCGAGCCTGCGACTGAGCGGGGCATCCGAAGTCCGGGAAGAGGAGTCAGTCTCCGGGGCTCGCAGAGTGGTGGACGCTCGGAGCGAGATCTCCGCGACAGCGTCGCAAAGTTCCCGTACGCTGTCGTCCAGTACTTGGGCAACGCCAAGTCCCCCACACCAGGAGTTTGAGGCCCCAGGCCGACCCGCCCATTGGCGTCGATCATGGCGCAGTCAGGGGGCCATCTGGACAACAGCCGGCTAGTTTCTCCCTGCCGAGTCTTCCTGACCGCCGCGGGGGCCTTGCTATGCAGCTCGTGCAGCACCCAGAACATTGTGTTGGAAGACGGGGCCGAAATCCTGACACCGAGACGACGGGGGTCGAGGCGGAGAGGGCTGGCATGGGCAGGCTTGAAACGAGCTGCCCGCCCTCGAACGTCGCCTGCGGCACCTCAACGTTGACCCAGAGCTCACATCCGAGACATCGTTCGCTGGCCCCCAGAGGCCAGGACGAGCCAATCCGGCGCCCGCTGGCCTGCGCGCGAGCCCCTCGGGCCCCACAGCATGGATGCCCCGATCGCGGAACTGCGGACGGAGCAGGGGCCCTTTCTGGCCTTTGGTGTGATGTCGCGCGAGGGCTCCTGGGCGGAATCACAGGCTGCGAACGCTGCACCTGGCGTTAAGTCAGGCCTGTCTCTCTGCAGGGGGAATATTCAGAAATAGTCC